ATTGTGAGTAATTGTTAGTAGGATTAATTGTGATTGTCAAAACTATAATTGTAGATGTGTAACTAAAAGGAAGAAGTGATCATTCCCTTCAGGAACAGAGGATCCCAGATCCCAGTACTATCAAGAACGAAGAGCATAGTATGAAAGGAGCTTGGGATCCCTGCTGGGAAAGGCAGCAACATCAGAGACAGAGGCAGCATCATGGAAAGACAGAGCAATTATGCACTTGGCTCATGGACTGAGTAAGGTTGTGTGCCTACAGGCAACAGGCAGGCTTGCAGAACGTGCTTTTGAACTTATGAATGACTATATCATGTTAGGTGCAAGTAGGACTTAACAGTTTTCTTTAACTATGCATGTATTTTATAGGTTTTGAGTTGGCAAGGGTGGACTGTAATGGTCAGAATTTAGTGTCAACTTGAGTAGGCAAGGGTTTCCAGAGGTTTAACGGTTGGGATGTACTTATTCCCATGGTAATGAAAGCTAATACAGGCATAGTTAGCTCTATGATGAGTGGCTATGAGTGGCCTATCAATTAAGGGGATGCTTCCTTAGGGGCGTGGCCTGCTTCCAATATAATGGACACATGGGGGGGATTCTCTCTCTTCTGCTGAGGACCTGGGACTGTGAAATTGTAAACCCTTTTCTTGATAATAAACTTCTCCTCTATAAATATGGAGTCCTGGTGTGGTGCTGCGGGTTACTGTGCCAGACTGCAAAGCCAGTTTGAACTGCAAGGCTGACGGTTGAAGCTCACCAATTGCTCCTCGGAAACCCTATACGGGATCACTATGAGTCAATGGCACTTAACAACAACAACATATGTATATGTGTGTGTGTATATATATACATATATGTATATATATGCAATATATCATGGATTCTGCTTCTCTAGAATATCCAGCCTAACACATAACACAACGGGCAAAATAGACTCCTGGTATAGTGCTATAGGATAAGCACTAGATTGCAGGCCATAAGGTTAGTGGTTCAAACTCACCACCTACTCCCCACAAACCTTGTACCGGGGTCACTATAAGTCGGAATTGCCTTGATGGCACTTAAGAACAAGAATGGGTAAAATATTAAATGATGCAGAAAGCACCAAAAGAAGATATGGAAGGAATACAGAGTCATTGTACCAAAAAGAAATGGCTGATGTTCAGCCATTTTAAGAGTACCATCATGAAGCTCTGGTAGCATAGTGGTTACGATTCGGGCTGCTAACCTCAAGGTCAGAAGTTTGAAACTACCAGCCGTTCCACAGGAGAAAGATGAGGTTTTCTGCTCCTGTAAAGATTTATAGCCTTGGAAACCCTGTGCAGAGTCACTATGAGTTGGAACTGATTCCACAGTACTTAACAACAATAACAACATCATGAAAAAGAATGACAATGAAGGAACAAGACCAAGCTATACTGAAGGCATTAGCAAAAAACAATATTCCAGGAATTAATGAAATACAGATTGAAATATTTCAACAAACTGATGCAGCACTGGAGGCACTCACTCACCTGCTCTATGCCAAGAAATTTGGAAGACAGGTATCTGGCCAACTGATTGGAAGAGACCTATCTATATTTGTTCTCATACCAAAGAGAGTTGACCAAACAGAATGTGGAAATCATTGAATAATATTAATATCACATGTAAGTAAAATTTTGCTAAATATAATTCAAAAATGGTTGCAAGAGTACATCAACAGGGAACTGCCAGAAATTCAAGTGTAATAGCAATTGGAAGAATAGTGTAGGACCAGGCTGAGTTTCGTTCTGTTGTGTATAGGCTTGATATGAGTTGGAGCCAACTCTATGGCACCTAACGTAATTACTGAACAGATAAAGAAAGGATAAAGGTAAGAAACATTTATGAAGCATTTTTATGTGTCACCGATTCTTATGTTTATACTTTTAAAACTCATTTAATCCTTAAAAGAACTTCATTCATTTTTGTGGTTTAAAGAATTAAATAACTTGCCTGAAAATTTTCCCTGAAAGAAAACAGGTAGGATTCAATTAAAAACCTATCTAATTTTAACATTGACATAATCCGCCGCCCCAAATTTATTGTCTCAATTGGAGATTGAATACCCATATGTTAACATGTGAAATAAATGATCACCTATATTATTTACGAAATGTATAGTTGGTATCTGGCTCTTAGATAGATTGCCAATGTCTTTTAGTGAGATGACAATTTCTGAAAGGAAATAAATAACATTCAGATGCAAATAAATATTCAACTCAAATTTTACTGAAATTAGCTGTGGCCTATGTCAGCAATTCTTATTCTGAGTCATGCCTCTATTCTCAGTACATGACATACTAGGTCATCAAGCCGAGTGATAGCTTTCATGTACATATATTTATGATATTTGATTTCCTGTAAGTGGAGAAGATAAAAGCTCTCCTAAAGTAACTAGGATAATTTGATGAGAGACAAATGAATCTGCTACAAATAACTCAAAAAAACCCCACACAAAAACCAACAAAAAAACAAAAATCAAAGTGAAAGAAAACAATAGCAATAACTAAAAAAGACTTCTTATTTCCTCCTGAAATGAATTCCCATCTGCTTTAAAATGCCAACATGTTTTTCCATTCACTGGGAGCCACTGCCAGAAGCCAAAGACAATGAGGTCCACAACCACGAGGGAGTGGTGGGCGGCAGAGTGCTGAAGGATGTGCTGCCTGCTTCAGCCTCTTGTTTGAGGCTGCTCCCTACTGACTTCATTCTCCTTCCAGATGGCGACACACTTCCTCCTGGGACACTCCTGAGGATTAAAAAATGCTTCAATTCTCTGTAAGCCTTCTTCAGACAGTGGGCCTATGTGAGGTTTCATGAAACAAGGTTGATTGGGCAAAACGAAGTACCAGGTAACGAGAGAAAAAAAATTTTAACTACTTCCTCTTCTCCATCTCAGTCGTCTTCTACAACTTTTCAATTAAATATAAGTAAGAAAAGTTCACCATTGTTAAAGGAAACATTCTATGTTTCCAAAAAAACAATTAGAATGCAAGCGATTTCTTCATCTCTGGCTCATCTGGCTAAATTCTTGTTTATATAGCTAACTAACTGTGTACAGTCAAATAAAATTAATTGAACATAATCTTGAATATACTATTCTCCTAAGATAATTAACTGATCAGCATTTATATCAGTATTTAAGGTGCTCTGATAGCAAAGTGGGTTATAAGATGGGATGCTAACTTCAAGCTTAGCAGTTTGAATCTACCAGCAGCTCCTCAGGAAAAAGATGAGGTTTTCTGTTCTCATGAAGATTTAGAGCCTTAGAAATGCTACCCAGGGTCACTATGAGTCGGAACCACCACCACCACCATTTACATTTTTAAACAAAAAGTGGCCACAGAGATACTCCATCTCTGATAAAGAGGGTGTGACTGATAAAGAGGGTGCATACAGTCACAAGGTCAGAAGACTCCTCGTAGGACAAATGAGAACTAAAATCTATTTTTCTTAAGTATAGTTTTTTACCTTCTCCTCCACACAGTTTATCATATATTTGTTAAACATACACTATGTTAAAAATTTCTCTTCTGGGGGATAAATTAGCCTGGGGAATAAATAAGTTACATGAGTGATAAACCGCAGAGCTTGGTAGAAGGCACGCAACTAAGGTCCTGCCTTTTAATTAAAACAACAACAACAAAAACGAATTCAAACTCCTTGGCGCAACTTTCCTGAAATTTTTCTCAGTAATGCAGTTTTCAGTTTTCTTAAAACTTCATAATAAGGTTCTGTGATTGTTCTATAATACACTAAGTCCAATTTCATATTTGCCTATAGGATTCTCCAAATACCTTAATAACCTATTATTAGATGCTATTCTCCTTGGTGTTTTATAAAAAATAGAGAAAAATAACAGCAAGTAAATCAGATGTGCAGTCTACAACCTCTTACTACACACACACACACAAAAAAAGACTAATCTCCTGGTACCAACTCACATCAGTAGTATATAGGAGATATAACTGTATTAAGGAATATAGCCTGTCTGTTTCTTAAGAAACGCATATGGAAAAGCTACAGAATTATTTTAATGAAATTTTAATTTATAAATACGAGGCAGCTTCAAAAAACTCATGGAAAAAAGAAACTAAAGTACAATGTTTCCAGGAACTCATTGAAGGCTCCTTATAAAATTAATCTAAAACAAGAGCTGTGAAAGAAAAGTAAAATGTTTATCTCTCCTAGTTATAGTGGTTTCATATTTTTATGAAGGTTGTTGCTATTCTTATGGAGAGAGTTTTCAGTTATGGGAAGAATGTGTGTTTATTTAACTATTTTTATGAGATAATCTTTGTTAATACATAAGTAGATTAAATAATTTTTACAAAATGATAAATAATGATAACAGCACATCCCTTTCCATTACCCTTTGTACTTCAGGATGCATTTGTGATATCCTAATTTCACTTCTATGCTACCCATAGATATCAGTGATAGTGGTGGTGGTGGTGGTGGTAATGTGTCATGGAGTCAGTTCTGACTTGTAGCGACCTAGTATAAGGCTTCCAAGGCTGTAAATCTTTACAAGAGCAGAAAACCTCGTCTTTCGAACTACTGACCTTGAGTTTAGCAGCCTGAAGAGTAACCACTATGCTCCTTAGGAAGGATTATGCTATTATCTCCATTTCACAGGTAAAGAAATGAAAGTGAAGAAGTGTGTGACTGTTGAAAACTGTTGTATGAAATAACCGAACACAGAATCTCTGATTTCTAGTTTTTCTTTCTAGTATATATGCTAATCTCTAATAACTACATTTTGAGAAATAAAAGAAGCCATATATGAAACAACTGAGTTATAATATAAGCCAGGTAAGAAGAAATTTAACTTAGTGATTTATCTGCCAGGTATGACATTTCCTGTTTTAAGATTTCTTAATAATTTAAAATAGTTAGCAGAAAGCTGTCTTTTCTTGCAAATGGAACCAAGCTACTTCTCTTTCAACAATACATTTTAAGGAGAATCACCTCACCTCTGCTCCTGAATATGTATCTGTTTGGAGGATGAGTTCATCCAGGTCAACACCATCACTAATTGGCATGGAGCGAAGCTGCAGGTTAAAAATTTCCCTTCTTGTTGCTGCATCTGGTAAAGGCACATAGATGATTCTATCAATTCTCCCAGGCCGCATCAAAGCCTATAAAGAAAACGGGGCAACATGGATTAATCAAGCTCATAATGAACATTTCAAATCAGACACCAAAGGGAAGGAGAGATCCAGAATTTTACAACAACTTGCTATTATCTTTACTTAGTAAATAAAACAAGTACTCGAGATTCTGTAATCTACTTTAAATATATCAACAAAGAAACAATGTTCAGAGTACTTTTGGAAACAGAAAAGCAGTGTTTCTGGGAGGCTTTCAGCTTCTCAGTAACTGTCAAGTCAGGAGAAGATTACTATTCTCTTTTCAGGAAAAGTGTATACAAATTAGACTTACTATATAAAAAGGAAGTTAGTAAATTATTGCCATGAAAGCAAAGATTTTGACATAATTCTGTCCTTGTGTTCCTTTATTTATCACGCAAGAGTTACTCTCCATCCACAATCATTAATAACATACCAGACTGAGTAGATTTAGCTTCCACCACTCATCAGTGTACTGTGGTGGCCTGTGTGTTGCTGGGATGCTACAAGCTATGCCACTGACATTAAATACAAGGAAGTCACCCATGCTGGACAGGTTTCAGCAGAGCGTCAAGACTAGTAAAAAGGAATGATTAGCCACTGAAAACATTATGAATAGCAGTGAAACACTGTCTGATTTAATGCCGGAATATGCTTGCAATACACTCGAAATAAGACTGTGGAAGAGCTCCCTCCTCAAAGTATATTTGACCTTAATGCTGTAGATTCAGAAACGCTTTTGGGATCTTCATTTGCTGAATGGGACACACTCAAAATGAGAAGAAACAACTGGAAACATGCATTAATAATCAGAATGTGGAATGTACCAAGCATGACTATAGGAAAATTGTAAGTTATCCAAGATGAAACAGAATTATAAAGATAGACATCCTGTATCTTAGTGAATTGAAATGGGCAGTTATTGGCCTTTTTGAATTAGACAACCATGCGGTTCACTACACTGGAAAGGACATTTTTAAGGAATGACATCACAGTCACAGTCAAAAAGAGCATCGCAAGATCTATTTCAATACAGGAAAGGCAGTAAAAAAAATAAAGAAGACAAAAATATCTACAGTAGGCAGATGTATGGAAACTGAAGTCTATTACTGGTTATCAAGAGTAAGTCCTTAATACAAAACAATATAGGTAGACTGACTGATTACTACAAGAACAAGCAAGTTACTTGCCTAGGAGACTTCAAGCCAAGAGGACAGGTCCCCTCAGAGCAAACCCCCTTCCAAGACAAAGACTCAATGGGAATACACGCTCTGATTGGTGACGATGTTCAAAACCCATAAGGGGAAGTGAGGGAAAAACAGCAATGAAGCTGCGAGCTAAGCCCTACAACGTTCAATAGACTCCTGTGAACCCGGGTGGAGACCTGGTTGGCCAGCAGTGTGGCAAGATCTGGGGACTCTTGGGCCCAGAGTCAGTGACATAGCCACAGAGGACTAGAATGGAGAGTGAAGTGTCCAGCTGATAAGAAGAGAGGGCATATGCACAACAGATAATAACCACTTGACCTGGCTTCAATGACTGGATGATCAGAGCTCAACTAGAAGAAGAAAGAAGAGGAAAAAAAAGAATAATCTGATACAATTTGATGAATTTGACCTATACCTATGGATGCAGTAGCTCAAAAGAGGGAATAAATCTTTATAGCAAGGATCATTCCCACCCCCTCGAGACACAGAGTAGACAGGGATGGGCAACTTGGACATTGACTACCCAAAATGAGGGGCTACACAGGCAAGAAGTGATTGGCATACAAGCTTTCAAGGGGGAACCTAGATCTAGAGGGCCTGGAGGAAGGTAGAATATCCATTGAGTAGTATACAATCTGTCTAGGTGGGGCTGATGAACGGAGATGTAGATAGGTCTCTTGTGATCCAACAATATAAATGGTGTAAATGTAAAACTCACTAGAAGGAGTACACAAGAATCCAAATGACTACATCTGTGGGAAGAGATGAAGGAGAAGCTTAATATCACCAGTCAAAACAAGGATAGGAACTGACTTTGGAACAGACCTTCAATTGCTTAGATGCAAATTTAGGCTGAGGCTCAAGAAAATTAAATCAAGTTCATAAAAGCCAAATTATGACTATGAGTATATACTCCCTGAATATGGTAAAGAACAGATTTGATATATTAAAAATTAACAACTGAAGACCAGAATAGATGTGGTATGACATCAAGAATATTATATTTGAAGAAAGCAAAAGATTAAAAAGACATTGAAAGAAAGCAACTGAAAGAAATAAGGAAGTAAAAGAGCTGAACAGAAAATTTCAAAGGGCATCTCGAGATGATAAAGTCAAGTATTATAATGAAGCATGTAAAGACCTGGAACTAGAAAACCAAAAGGCAGGAACACACTCAGCAGCACTTCTTTCTCTCAAACTGAAAGAAGTGAAGAAAAAATTCAAGCCTCGGATTGCCACATTGAAGAATTCTATGGACAAAATGTTGAATGACATAAAAAACATCCAAAGAAGATAGAAGGAATATACAGAGTCAGGATAGAAAAAGAAATGGTCAATGTTCAAGCATTTCATAGGTAGTATATGATCAAGAACCAACAGTATTGAAGGAAAAAGTCCGAGCTGCATTGAAGATATTGGTGAAAAACAATGCTCCAGGAATTGATGGAATATAACTTGAAATGTTTCAGTAAACTGATGCAGCACTGGAAGCGCAAACTAGTCCATGTCAAGGAATTTAGAAGACAGCTACTAGACCAGCCAAGTGGAAGAGATCAATACTTGTGCCCCCACAGAATGTGGAGATGTCACATGTAAGTAAAATTTTGCTGAAGATAATTTAAAAATGATTGCATAAGTACACAGAAAAGGAATTGCAGAGATTTAAGCTGGATTCAGGAGAGGATGTAGGACTAGGGTTATCATTGCTGATGTCAGATGGATCTTTGTTGAAACCAGAAAATATCAGAAAGATGTTTACTTGTGTTTATTAACTATGCAAAGGCATTTGACTACATGGATAATGAAGAACTATACATAACATTGGGAAGAATGGGCATTCCAGAATATTTAATTGTGCTCATGAGGAATGTAAACCAAGACAGAGGCAGTTGTTAGAACAGAACAAGAGAATAACTGAATGGCTTAAAATTAAGAAAGGTGTGAGTTATGGTTGTATCCTTTAACGATATACATGCTGAGAAAATAACCCGAGAAACTGGTTTATATGAAGAAAAATCTGTGATCAGGATTGGCGGATGACTCATCAACAACTTGTAATATGCAGATGATACAACTTGGCTTGCTGAAAGGAAAAGGGCTCAAAATACTTACTGATGAAGATCAAAGACTTCAGTATTGATTGTTCCTCAATGTAAAGAAAACAAAAATCCTCACAACTGAACAAATAAGTAACATTATAATAAATGGAGGAAAGACTTAAGTTGTCAAAGACTTCATTTTGATTGAACTCACAATCAACACTCATGTAAATAGCAATAAAGAAATCAAATGACATTACTTTGGGAAAATCTATTGCAAAAAAAGTTGTTTGTTTTTTTTTTAATAAACTTTTTATTGTGAATTGGGTGAAGGTTTACAGAGCAGATCATCAGGTTTTACATTCAGAAACTGAAACACCCTCCATGTACCAACATGCAAAACTGTCTTTAAGGCGCTAAGAGCAAAGATGTTAGGTTGAAGACTAACGTGCACTTGACACAAGTCATGGTATTTTCAATCACTTCACGTTCATGTGAAAGTTGGGCAATGAATAAGCAAGATCAGAAAAGAACTGATGAATTTGAATTATGGTGATGGTGAAGAATATTCAAAGTGTTGGACTGCCAGAAGAACAAATATGTCTTGGATGAAGTACAGCAGAATGCTACTTAGAAGACAGTAAGACTTCGTCTCTGCACCCACTCTTCATAGCCATTAGCATAAATTCAAAGGCAGCAATTTTTCTTTGGTCTTCCCTATTCATTGGCCAGCTTTTACAATGAATGAATCCTGGGCTAGGTTAGGCGTGCTTTAGTTCTCAAAGTGACATCTTTGCTTTTTAACACTTTAAAGCTAAACTTGTTGCTGTTGTTGTTAGGTGCTGTACAGTTGTTTCTGACTTAGAGCCATTCTATGCACAACAGAATGAAACATTGCCTGGTTTTGTGCTATCCTGACAATTATTGTTATGCTTGAGCCCACTGTGTCAACCAATCTCATTGGAGATCTTCCCTCTTTTTCAATGATCTTTCACTTTACTAACATGACATCCATTTTCCAAGGACTGGTCCCTCCCATCAATATGTTCAAAGTATGAGACACGAACTATCCCTGTCCTCGCTTCTAAGGAACATTCTGGTTGTACTTCTTTAGAGCTACATTAACAAATGCACAAGAACAAACATGTTCTTCTCTGAGTCCACTGTGTTTTCAATATTCTTCGCCAACACCATAAATCAAAAGCATAGATTCTTTTATGGCTTTCCTTATTCACAGATTGGTTTGTTCTTTATTTTTTTTTTAAATTGTGAGCCAAGTGACAGTTTACATGGGAGAATATCGGCTTTACACTATCGTTTCATTGCAATGATTACAATCTCGTCTGTGCATCATCATTCAACAGTATTTGCTTCCATCCTGGTTTTTTTTTGTTGTTGTTGTTGTTGTTTTTCTTTCTTGTTGTTGTTTTTTCTTGGGGGGAGTGGGGATGTACACAAAAACACTCAGGAATATATAATCATTTAAACAAAGGGCACATTCTTCCTGTGTTCCTGTATCCTGGCCACCAGCACTCAGTTCCTCTCTTTCCATGAGTCTAGAGTCCTCAGCTGCTCCCTCTCCTCATGTCTTCATTTTTGCTTCTATCTCTGGTGTCGCTGCTTCTCTGGATAGGGTCCTGCATTCCACTTGTACTCTTCTCCCTTGATGGTCCTAGGGTCCTCTGCTTCTGGACTGTAAGATTAACTACTCCCCCATTTTTGTTACAAAACTTCTACTTTTACAGTTGTGACCATCGGAATT